ATATTTGCAATCCACGTACTATACTGTACGTAAGATACACCTCAAAAGATAAAGAAAAGGGGCGCCTAGGTGGCTCAGTCAGTTGAGTGTCCAACTTTTGATTTCAGCTTTGGTCACAGTCCCAAGGTTGTGGGCTTGCGCCTGGGTCCTGCAACGGTCTCTGTGCTGAGTGTGGAGCCTGCTTGGGATTCTCTCTCTCTCTCTCTCTCTCTCTCTCTCTCTCTCTTTCTCTCTCTCTCTCTCTCCTTCTGGCCCTCTCTCCCACTGGCTCTCTTTCTTTCTAAAATATAATTAATTAATTAATTTTTTAAAAAGATAAAGAAAATAGCAAAAGGCTACAAAGATGTTAATGCTTATTCTGTTGCTATTAAATCTAGTTTTATCCCAAACTCTCAGTAAGCTTCCCCCCAAAATATGAACTCTAGTTTAGTTGTTGATGAGGTTAGAAGCCATCAAGGCTTCTATCAGGCTATGATGATCTAGGGACCACAGTACAGGTGCTAATAAAAATTCAGCAGCAATTCTGACACTGGGAAAGACTGTCAGAAACCAGATACTTATCCCTGATGAGCTATTTTCATCTAATTAAAAGCTATGTTTCTTTGCTTTTGACTGGAATTATACCCATGCATGGGGGAAGACAGGTAATCTCAAACAGTTCAGCAGACTAAATATGCATCTTAGAATAAGTTTAACTTGCAGGAAAATCAATTAACTAATACTTTTTTTAAATGTTGATAGGGAAATAAAACCCTTCAAAATATAGGATTCATAAGTAAAATAATAAAAGTGGAAAGACTATGAACCCTTCCAAGTCTAGGTCAAATAACACACAAATGGGTGTGAAACATGTCAGAGAGTAAGGAAGTGCTTAAGGAAAAAAAATGTGTATACACACACACACACACATATATATATACACATATATGTATACATACACACACATACATATACACATATATACGTATCATAGGTACATATATACGTTAGCATGTCAAAGGGGCATAGGGGCCAAATTGAAAAAGTTCCCAATTGCCAAAATTGAAGCAATTAGAGCAACAAAATAAATAACAGTTGAATTCGGTAATAATCCAAAAAATGAGATAAATAATCATGAGCCATGAGTCTATATGGACATAATTAAATAAATGGGAAAGAAGGGACAACTCTTCCTTACAGAAAAATTCCAATTAATAAATGTCTTAGAAATGAGAGATTAGAAAGTCACCATTAAATACCACCCAAATAATTGCTGCTGACAAGATCTATTAATGAATGCTAAAATTAGTGGGTGAAAGTATACGCAGAAATAGGATGTGTACATCCTGATGGAATACAGAGACATCCAGGATGTCTTTGTATTAGTTTCCTGTGGCTACTATAACAGATTGCCACATATTCAGTGGCTTAAAACAACACAAATTTATTCTCTTACAGTTTTGGAGGGAGGCCAGAAATCCAAAATCAGTATCACCGATACCAAATCCAAGGTATCAGTAAGGCCATGCTTTCTCTGGAAGAGCTAGGGAAGAATCTGTTCCCTTTCCTCTTCCACACCTGTATTCTTTGGCTCATGGCCTCTTTCTCCATTTGTTAAGCCTGCAGCATGGCATCTTCAAATTTCTCTCTACTTCCACTGTCACATTGCCTTCTGCTTTTGTATGAAATCTCCCTCTTCCTCCCTCTTAAAAGGACACTTGTGATTGCATTTAGGGCCCACTCAGATTATCCGGATAATCTCTCCCCATCTCTAGACCCTTAGCTTAATCACACATGCAAAATTTCCTTTGCCATCCATATATAGCAACGTTCACCAATTTGAGGGATTAAGATCTGGATATCTCTGGGGGCCATTATTCAGCCTACCACAGTTTCAAAGTATCCCCCCAGGATACAGAGAAGAGAACCCTGACAGACACCACATTAACCAGGTGATCAAATTTAACATTGTTAACAGAACATATTGACATCATGTACTCCCTTAAAAGGACACAACATCATTTCTGTGCTATTCTTCCAAAAATGCATACTCTCATTCCAATCATGAGAAAACATTTAAAAATCCAAATTTAGAAACATTCTAAAAAATATCTGACCAAAGTTCTTCAAAGTGTAAAGGTCAAGATAATGTCACAGAAGTAAGACTAAAGAAACATGGTGACTAAATGCAACCTGGGATTCTGCATGGGATTCTAAAACAGAAAAAGGACATTGGTGGAAAAACTCATGAAATCCAAGTAAACTCTACAGCTTAGTTAATGATACTGTACTGATGTTAAAACCTTAGTTTTGGAAGTATTCTGTGGTTATATAAGATGTTAGCATAAGGGAAGCTGGGTGTAGGCTATACAGGAACTTTATACTATTTTTGTAACTTATTTTAAGTCTAAAATATTCCAAAAACAAAAAATATATATATTAAAAAAGAGAAAGAAAGGAATGAAGGGAGGAACATAGGGAAGGTGGGAGGCATGTGAGCCCTTGGTTTAGGGTCTTTGAGTGCGCCCTGCTGGTCACGAGAGTGAACTGCAGTGAAGTCCTCCAAGGCTGGGTGTCTTTGATGTTATGTAAAGCAATTGCCCTTCTCTTTTCCTTCCAGTAATGTACCTGCTCTGAGGCGGTCTTCTCAAAGCCAAGCTATTCTCCTATTGATTCACGGTTTCTTTCTTCTTCTAAAAATCCATCAAAAGTCTCACTAGTTCCAAAATCTGTCTTCTCTCTAAACAGAACAGTACATCACAAACCCACAAACACTTACTGGCTGAACATCGAGACCTGTCAGGTGCAGGTAAACCATCCAAAACTCCACCCGCTGACCATCCCACTAGACACCCAGGAATGAGGCAGCCACGCCAGAAGACTGGGGCTGGGGCAGAGAAGGATAGAGTATGAGGAGTGCAGGACTAGGGGGAATAGACGCGAGGTTGAGGCCCAGGCAAATAAAGGCAAATAAAAGTATTTCTATTAATGATGTTTCATGTATGAATCTTTTAAGGGGCGCCTGGGTGGCGCAGTCGGTTAAGCGTCCGACTTCAGCCAGGTCACGATCTCGCGGTCCGTGAGTTCCAGCCCCGCGTCAGGCTCTGGGCTGATGGCTCGGAGCCTGGAGCCTGTTTCGGATTCTGTGTCTCCCTCTCTCTCTGCCCCTCCCCCGTTCATGCTCTGTCTCTCTCTGTCCCAAAAATAAATAAAAAAACGTTGAAAAAAATTTTAAATAAAATTAGTAACTCACTGGCTTCAAGTAAATAAAATACAGCTTTCATTAGGAAAAGACTGAGATTTCTTGTGGCACATGATAGTGGAGACCAGAGATATATAGACTGGCAGTATCCTGGCTGTATCTGGGCCACAGACAATAATTTTATTTAGCCCACACAATATTTTAAATGTTTGCAATTGGATGCCAATGTTTTGAAATCTGGAGATATTACATTTAAAGATTAAGGATTAAGAGTTCTGATTTTTGTTCATGGAAAAAAGAAACCCTATACATCTGAGCACATTTCTGCACAACAAAGCAGCAAGAGCTGTAGACAAGCTGTGCTTGCACTTAGGTTCTTCCCCCACCATTCACACAAGGCATGCCTATGACTAATACCCACCCTGGCTAGATTCACATGTATTGCACGCCTAGGCCCTATGGCAATAGTGTTTGCCAGTATCTGTGCAGTATCTATCATATATACTGTCATATATGCTTTCAACAGCCAAAAGGGCCTTGCCATCTGCATAAGTTTCCTTAATAATATTCATCCTTTCTTTCTAAAAGTCACCGTGGCTAAAACAGAACACATACATTTACTCTATATTGTTTTACTTTTAACAATACCCAATGCCAATGGATCAAAATCACCTGGAAGGTTTGCTAAAACCCAGACTGCTAGGCCCCACGCCCGAGTTTCTGATTCAGTAGCCTGAGGTAAGACCTAAGAATCTGCAATTCTAGCTGATTCTGCTAATGCAGAGATCACACGTTGAGAAAACCAGAGTTCAGTAACATAATGCTTTTGATTTTAAAAATTTCCTTGCCGATTTCATACACGTTTCTTGGATAACTCTAGAGTAGTGATATCCGACAGAATTTCTGCAATGATGGATACACTACATTCCATATAAAATGCTGCCCAACATGGTAGCCACCAGCCACACATGGCTCCCGAGGATGTGTGACTTAAGAATTAAATTTTAGGGGAGCCTGGGTGGCTCAGTCAGTTAAGTGTCCGACTTTGGCTGAGGTCATGATCTCACAGTTTGTGGGTTCGGGCCCCGCATAGGGCTCTGTACTGACAGCTCAGAGCCTGGAGCCTGCTTCGGATTCTGTGTCTCCCTCTCTCTCTGCCCTTCCCCTGCTTGTGCTCTGGCTCTCTCTCTCTTTCTCTTAGAAATAAATAAACATTAAAAATTTTGTTTAAAAAAAAAGAATTACATTTTAATTTTTAGTTAATTTTAATTAATTTAAATTTAAATAGCCATGTGTGGCTAGTAGCTACCATATCGGACAGTATAGCACCGAAGTCTCTTGAGCAGCCAACCAGAGAGGGGAAGGGGAAGAAGACAACTTTCACAGCAGTATAAATAGCAAAGCCTAAGATTATGCACATAAGGTCTGATTTATTTTAATTAAAAAACTCTTTTAGTATTTTCAATTGTGCCCAGAAGTAACCATGGCATATTAAAAGGAGGAAAGAAGTTTTCATGACATTAGTGAAACCACAGAGCCTCAACCCATTTAGCAAGAAAAACAGGGGCGCCTGGGTGGCGCAGTCGGTTAAGCGTCGACTTCAGCCAGGTCACGATCTCGCGGTCTGTGAGCTCGAGCCCCGCGTCAGGCTCTGGGCTGATGGCTCGGAGCCTGGAGCCTGTTTCTGATTCTGTTCTCCCTCTCTGCCCCTCCCCGTTCATGCTCTGTCTCTCTCTGTCCCAAAATAAATAAACGTTGAAAAAAAAATTAAAAAAAAAAAAAAAGAAAAACAACAAATCATCAAGCTCATTCTTTTTACCTTTTATTCTCCTGGGAATCACAGTCACCCAATCAGGTCCGCTGGAGTTGATTGGCATTTTGATATTGACACCACTTTAAAAGGAATAAGAAGAACACAAGTTTAGATTTGAGAACATTTACTTTCTAATATGTATCTTCATTTGCAAATTAAAATAACAGGATTTCACAGAACATTAAGATGAAATATTCTTATAAATGCTACTCAACACAATCAATTAATAAACCAGGTCTCTTAAAATAAGCAGGTTATGTGGATATATAAAGTGAATAGAAATTAAATAGGTTTTTAATTTTTCACCACATAGCCCTGAGAGTATAATCTCTAAAATGACAAATTCTGGTTTAAATTCTTTATTCCCCTTGGACTCGGAAAATGGCTCACACTGATGAGAATGTCCATTCTGTCACTATCTAATTTTCAGATTATAAATCTATGTAGCATTAAATCACAGGTCAGATTCCTTAGGCCTTGCCCAGAACAGAGATGAGTCCTACTAGAGACACTTGTCCCCAGATATGTGCTCTTTCAGGACTTTGTTCACCATTGGTATGGCCCTGTAGTGTCTCTTTCTAAAACATACTCCTCAGTGACACAGATTGTGTTTCACTCACCTTTTGTCTCCAGCACTTAGCACAGGCCCTGGGCTAGAGTCCATGCTTGGACAATATTAGATTGAGGGCTGTGTGAAAAAGTGGGAGAGTGTGGAGTCCAGGGAAAAAGTACTGGAAATTTGGTATAACTATGCCAGAAACTGGGTCACAACAATCACCTCTTACACTTAGGCCAAAAACAGACAAAAAAATAAAATGCTAACTTTCCAAATTCTTGATACGTGAACTTGAATCACAATATTTTATCAAAAATCAGTTCAAAAGAGATATGTTCTTAAATAATTCTTAAGCTTCTAAATGAACAAAGGAAAAAAAAGAGAGAGACCAAAAAACAGATAGTACAAAAAACTATGGAGAACTGATGGTCACCAGAGGGAAGGTGGGCAGGGAGATGAGTGAAATCGGTAAAGAAGATTAAAGAGTACACTTCTATTGATTAGCACTGAGTAATATATGGAACTGTTGAATCACAATCAATATTATACACCTGACACTAATATAACACTGTATGTTAACCACACTGGAATTAAATTTTTTTAATAAAATAAAAATATAATTTTTAAGCTTCTACTATGGGCCCGGCACTGTCCTAGATGTCAGGGATGTAACAATAAACAAGACACACAGCATCTCCTCCTTCAGGGAAATGACATTCTAATGGGGAGACAAGAAACAAGGAAGGCAGTGCAGCTGACCTTGAACAACATGTTTTTGTTTTGTTTTGTTTTGTTTTTTTTGCTGCCTACAAGAGGATCATTTCTTTTTTTCAAACATTTTGGAAGTTTGCAGCCATTATTTATTTTTTTCTTAAACTAACATTCAATCTTTATTATACACACACACACGTATGTATGTGTGTGTGTGTGTGTGTGTATATATATATATATATATATATATAATTTATTTCATTCTTTCTCATTGCCAAGTAATATTCCATTGTATATATAAACCACATCTTCTTAATCCATTTGTCAGTTGATGGGCATTTAGGCTCTTTCCATAATTTGGCTATTGTTGAGAGTGCTGCTGTAAACAATGGGGTACAAAGGCCCTATGCATCAGTATCTGCTATCCCTTGGGTAAATTCCTAGCAGTGCTGTTGCTGGGTTATAAGGTAGATCTATTTTTAATTTTTTGAGGAACCTCCACACTGTTTTCCAGAATGGCTGCACCAGTTTGCATTCCCACCAACAGTGCAAGAGGGTTCCCTTTCTCCACATCCTCGCCAGCATCTATAGTCTCCTGATTTGTTCATTTTAGCCACTCTGACTGGCATGAGGTGGTATCTCAGTGTGGTTTTGATTTGTATTTCCTTGATGAGGAGTGATGTTGAGCATCTTTTCATTTCATGTGCCTGTTGGTCATCTGGTTGTCTTCTTTAGAAAGTGTCTATTCATGTCTTCTGCCCATTTCTTCACTGGATTATTTGTTTTTCAGGTGGGGAGTTTGGTGAGTTCTTTATAGATTTTGGATACTAGCCCTTTGTCCGATATGTCATTTGCAAATATCTTTTCCCATTCCGTCGGTTGCCTTTTAGTTTTGCTGATTGTTTCCTTTGCGGTGCAGAGGCTTTTTATCTTCACAAGAACCCAATAGTTCATTTTTGCTTTTAATTCCCTTGCCTTTGGAGATGTGTCAAGTAAGAAATTGCTATGGCTGAGGTTTTCTCCTGCTTTCTCCTCTAGGGTTTTGATGGTTTCCTGTCTCACATTCAGGTCCTTCATCTATTTTGAGTTTATCTTTGTGAATGGTGTAAGAAAATGGTCTAGTTTCATTCTTCTGCATGTTGCTGTCCAGTTCTCCCAGCACCATTTGTTAAAGAGACTATTTTTTTTCCATTCTTTCCTGCTTTGGATATTCTTTCCTGCTTTGTCAAAGATTAGTTTGCCATACATTTGTGGGTCCAATTCTGGAATCTCTATTTTATTCCATTGGTTCTATGTGCCTGTTTTTGTGCCAATACCATACTGTCTTGATGATTACAGCTTTGTAGTACAGGCTAAAGTCTGGGATTGTGATGCCTCCTGCTTTGGTTTTCTTCTTCAATATTACTTTGACTATTCAAGGTCTTTTGTGTGAACAACATGGCTTTGAACTGTGCAGCTCCACTTATGCATGGATTTTTTCAATAAATGCAGTACAGTCCTGTAAATGTATTTTCTGTTCCTAATGATTTTCTTAACATTTTCTTTTCTCTAGCCTACTTTACTATAAGACTACAGTATATATAATACATACAGCATACAAAATATGTGTTAATCAACTGTTCTTATCAGTAAAGGTTCTGGTCAATGGTAGAATATTAGTAAAGTCTTTGGGAAATCAAAAGTTATAGCAGATTTTTGACTGTGCAGGTGGTTGGCACGTCTAAATCCTGAGACTTTTAAGGGTCAACTGTATGTTTAGAAAATAGTTTAAATAAGTTACATTTAGGAGAGAACATGACTTTTAAAACAGCACAAATAAACTGCTTTCGTGGGAGAGCTTTAAGATAAGGAAAAGAAGAAAATTTGCCCTTTGAAATTTTCCTGTAAAAATGTTTAACCTCAATCTGGTCATGTAGAAACAATAAAGCAGCAAATCCAAATTAAGGGACATCTACAAAGCAGTGACATCAAAACCTTAATGTTGTGAAAAACATGCTAGAGGGGGCGCCTGGGTGGCTCGGTCAGTTGAGTGTCCGACTCTTGGTTTTGGCTCAGGTCATGATCTCTTCATGAGTTTGAGACCCACATCTGGCTCTGCAATAGCAGGGTGGAGCCTGCTTGGGATTCTCTCTCTTTCCCTCTCTCTCTGCCCCTCCCCTGCTCACACTGTCTCTGTCTCTCTCAAAATAAATAAACAAAAAATCAAACAAACAAACAAACAAAAAAAACACAAGCTAGAAACCTCATCCAAATTAAAGATTAAAGAGATAACTGAGGGTGCCTGAGTAGCTCAGTCAGTTGGTTAAGCGTCTAACTTTGGCTCAGGGCACAATCTCACATTTTGTGAGTTCGAGCCCCACATGGGGCTCTCTGCTGTCAGCACAGAGCCCCCTTCAGATCCTCTGTCCCCGCCTCTCTGTCCCTCTCCTGTTTGTGTTCTCTCTCTGTCTCTCCCAAAATAAATAAATAAAATTTAAAAGAAAGGATAACTAAACACATTGTAAGTAATCATAGGTTAGATTAGTTAAAATAAAAATGACAGCTATAAAGGACATTATTGGGACAATCAGAGAAACTTGAGTATGGACTGTATATTCAATAATAGTATTGTATTAATGATAAATGCCCCAAGTGTGATAAATATGTTACAGTTATATGTTGGAGAAAGTTCATGTGCCAGGAGATGCATACCCATGAGGTGCAACACCATGTTGTCTGCAACTTACTCTCAAATGCTCTGGGAAGGGGGATAATTATACATCAACAGACATATATATAAACACACATACAAAGAGAAAGAGAGAGAAAGCAAATGTGGCAAAACATTAACAATGGTGAATCTAAGTTAAAGCTATATGGATGTTCATTTTTATTATTCTTGCAGTGTTTCTAATGATTTGAAAGTTTTTTTAAGCACAAAGTTAGAAAAAAGAAAATATGAAATGATGCTAAAATATATGGGAAGCTTTTCATGTGAGAACCTCATTCTTTCAAAAAGCCTTCCTTTATATTAATAGAATCTTTTAAGCAAAGTACTGTTGTTCTTTCTAAAACCAACATTTTTTAGGAGTAAAGAACAAAGATTAGATCACCTTAATTGTCCAACTGTTATTTAGAGAACCAAAGACCAAAGCTAAGCTTAATCCTTTCTGAATTAAGCAATGCTATGAGCCACCAAGGAAAAAAGGTAAAAATGGATATCAGCTTAACATATTCAGGCCATGAGCTCAAAAAAGCATACCCAAGGACACCTCAAAAAATCAATTTCAATCTTCTTCTTTTTAGTTAGCTGATGTAAAATTTCAGAATTCTAATAAACAATGCAAGAAAAAAAATCAGTAGCAGAACTATCAGATGTTTGATTCCCAAAAATGTTACCTCAAGCAACATCTTATCAGCAAACTTCTAGGTAAGTAGAATTTCTTAATGATTCTACTACAAAGTGCCATCAGTCAGCCTCATCCAGGATGTGCAAGTAAGGACAGAGACATAATTATTTCATCCTTCACGATTCACAGGTGTTTTCTGGTTTTAATGGTAGGATTTAGTGTCAGGAATACTCTTAAATTTTACACTTACTCTCAAATTTTTCTCCCACTTTTTTCCACATGGAATTTCAGTAAGTTATAAGCTGTGCTTCCTCTTTTTTGCTAAGCCACTAAGGAGACTGACAACACAACCCTAAAGGGGAGGAACTGAGCAGTCTTCACACATAGGCAAAAAGTACACAGACCTGAAATCATCTGCTCACCGTCATTGATAAATAACGTGTCTGAAATTGAACCCAGGATTAAAACTAAAGCTAAAGTCCTTGTATACTCAGCTACACGACAAACTAGACAGTTTTCTGAAGAACAGTACAGTAAATACATTGAATAGTCCTCCCTCTGCTGGCATCTAAGAGCATCCCTCTAAAAGCATGGCATCAGTCCAGCAAACATGTATTTAAAACCGATACGACCAAAAGCAGACTCCAGAAATGAAAAATCAGAGCTTTGTTTGAGAAGCTCCTACATACGTTATAGTAGGAACATTTCCCTCACTGAGTAAGAAGTGGGCATAAAACATAAAATTTTTACGGTTGCCCAGAGGTACTCAACAAAACTACCTCTCCACCAAGGAGTATTTTTAAGTATTTATTTCAATAAAAAAATAAAAGGCATTTTTACATTCTGTCAAGTAATTGGACTTTTTGGCCATATGGCTTTTATCATTTTTTTCCTAAGGCATGCTATTTTACTTCAGAACTGTACGAAATGTTGAAGAAAACATTTAATCCATACTGATCCCATACATTCCACTCTGCACATTATTCCGCGTTTTCCGCTGAAAAAGTTTTACACTTATGTTCCACAAGAGAAATTTGTACACAATAATGCAAAAATTTCCCTAACTGTTAATTTAAAAAACATAGTTTGCCGTGATATTCCTGGTTTCCCATGTTTACCGTTAAGTCAACCCAGCAATGTTATCATATTCATAGTCCTTTTCCTATCAGTATATGATTTTAACAACTGATAATATGTCACTTAAAAATGTTTTTAAAGTTTATTTATTTATTTTGAGAGAGAGAGAGAGAAAGCCCAAGCAGGGGAGAGACAGGAAAGAGAGAATCCCAAGCAGGCTCTGCACCGTCAGCACAGAGCCCAAAGCAGGGCTCAATCTCACAAACCGTGAGATCATGACCTGAGATGAAACCAAGAGTAGGCTGCTTAACTGACTGAGCCACCTAGGTGCTCCTGAAATTTTTTTAGCTTATTAAACATGAAGATAAAACAGTGTCCTGACTACAAGACCTCTTGTCACCCTGTTCTTGGGCGATGTTTTTCATCTGTTCTGTGAATAAGTGATCTTTCTTATATAGTTATCCATGTGCTATGTAGTTCTGAAGTAAAACATAAATCTGAGGGTAAAAGGTCTTTAATTTGAACTAGAAGAAGCTCTAAGCTTCACTTTCTAAAAACTATTCACAAGGGGGCACTGGCTGGCTCAGTCACTGGAGCATGCAACTCTGGATCTTGGGGTTGTGGGTTTGAGCCCCACGTTGGGTGTACAGATCCCTTAAACATTTTTAAAAATCTAAAAATACTTTAAAATAAATAAATAAAAATAAAAACTATTCACAAAATATAAATATTTATTTATTTTCCTATTCGCTACTTCTCCCAAATAGGGCCAACTTCAGAAAGTTATATAAAGCAAATAACCAAAACAAGAAAGTCTTCTAAATGAGATGATGTCACCTAATTGAGACAAAAACAGTGTAAAAGGACCTTAAAATTATCCCCTGGAACAAGAAACACCTACCTCTGGAAGAAAGCGGTCTCTGCAGCAGTTAGGAGGCCCTTCAGGTATCCACCTTTGAAATGGTTAATTCTGCTACTGCAAGGGAGCTTCTTTGGTTTGAAGCAGAACCAGGGCTCTCCAGTATAGACATCTGTAAAGTTACACAGGGGAAGACTCCCAGGAAGACACACATTGCACTCAGTGGTTTCAGAAATTCTTCCTGAACGGAAGAGACTCTTGAAATAGACTCTGTGTGGTTTCTCTTCCTGCAGGCGCTGAAGAACTCTGATCCCCTCAGTGGGGTGGACCAGAGATATGGACACTTTAACTTTGCCTGGCCAGAGCAGAGTAAAGAAGACCTTGTAAAACCCATTCTGGTAGTCTACCACTCTGCCCACAGCCCCTGCCTGCAGCTTAGGGGAGTGGATCCTGGCCTGCAGGTAGTCTCCACCATACTTCTTGGGCTTTCTTTGAAAATCCTGCACATGAACCAGCACTTCTAGCTGGCTTCCCACCTTGAAGAAGGCTGCGGAGTTCAAGATAACAAAGTAGCTGGAAGAAGGGTCAGTGCTCTTCACAAAGGGGACTGGACCCACATCAGGCACCTGCCACTGTAAGGCAGCCAGCAGGGAGTCCTCCTCCGTGCGCTCCCGGCTGGACAGAGTCTGATGCTCATAGCCACAGTAAGGATTCCGGCTAATTCTTGTCATCTGGGAGGAAACAAACTGTCCACTGCTGTCGATGAATGTGGCTGAAACAGTCTCATGGTCCAAGTACTGAAGACAGAAACATAAAAACAGAAACCACAGCTATAATAAATTTCCTTATATCAGCCAAATATATCTCTGCTTCAGTTTAATTTTAATAAAACTACTTGGTATGACATTGTCTCAAAACCCAGAGCTTACTAGTTTAACAGGGCTATCTTATTATAACACAGTGACATCAGGATGAGGAATAAAGTCATAAAGAGATCTCCACACTGTGGATCTCACCTCTGGGAGCTCAATCAAGTTCCTGTAATAAATATCAGGCTTCCAGCAAAACAAGAAGAAAAGGAATCATTTTGAAATATAATAGAGCATTCTGTTCTTCTTAACAAGGCCTGCCCCCAAGAGAAACTATTTTACCAGAGCCTAATCTATTGGGGTTTTATCAGAACTTAACCAAACTGGGGTAGGGAACATACCCAGCTCCAGCCCATTCTAACCATCTATCCAACTTAAAGAGTGTTGGGGAGGACTGAGAAGCACTTTTGAAGTTCACAGCCCCATACCAAAGGCTCCCTAAAGGACTGAGAGTCACTCATAGGACTATAAATCGCTTCACCTCCCTCACACCTCACCACTAAAAACTTATTTATCAGAGTTTCCTTTAACCAGTACATCATGTCCAGCTTTCAACAAAAAATTGTAAGACATACTAAAAGACAAAACACATAGTTTGAAAACACAAATAAGGCATCAGAACCAGACTCAGCTATGGCAGAGTTGTTGGAATAATCAGACCAGTAATTTAAAACAAGTATGATTATTTGACAATAAATTATATACAAAAATTTTTAAATAAAAAAATAAAACAAGTATAATTAATATCTATAAGGCCTCTAAGGGAAAAAGCAGACAACATGAAAGAACAGATAGGCACTGTAAAGACAGAGATAGAAACTCCCAGAAAGAATCAAAAAGAAATGGCAGACAGCTGAGAGGATTTTTAGGGAGAGAAAATACTCTGTATAACGCTATAATAATGGACAGTTATCATTACACATTTGTCTAAACCTGTAGAATATACAAAACCAACAGAGAATCCTAAGGTAAACTATGGACCTTGGGTGATGATATGTCAAGGTAGGTTTATCCTTGGTTAAAAAATGTACCATTCTGGGGCACCTGGGGGGCCCAGTCAGTTAAGCACCTGACTCTTAATTTTGACTCAGGTGATGATCTCCCAGTTGGTAAGATCCACCCCTCACTGACAGTGTGTGGAACATGCTTGGCTTCCTCCCTCTCCTCCCTCTCTCTCTCTCTCTCTCTCTCTCTCTCTCTCTCTGCCCCTGCCCACGCTCACTCTTTCTCTCTAAATAAATAAATAAATAAATAAATAAACAAACTTAAAAAACAAAATGTTTACCGTTCTGGTGAGTGACATAATAATGGGAGAGGCTCAACAATAGCCAAATTATGGAAAGAGCCTAAATGTCCATCAACTGATGAATGGATAAAGAAAATTGTGGTTTAAACTAATCAATGGAGTTCCCTTCGCTGGCAGTGAGAAAGAATGAAAATATCCTTCTGTAGCAACGTGGATGGAACTGGAGGTGATGATGCTACGTAAAATAAAGCTATACAGAGAAAGACAGATACCCATATGGTTTCACTTCTTATGTGGATCCTGAGAATACAAACCACAGGGGAGAGGGAAGGGAAAAAAAAAAAAAGAGTTAAGAGTGGCAAGAGATATAAGAGAACTGTTAAAAAAGCTGAGGGAAGCGCCTGGGCGAGTTAGCGGGTTACAGGTCCCACTTCAGCCAAGTCAATCGGATCTTGGTGGTCGTCGAGTTCACGAGCCCCCGCTGCGCATACTCGGCTGATGGCTCGAGACCTGAGCCTGTTTCCATTCCAGTGTCTCTCTCTCTCTGCCCCTCCCCTATTCGTCTATGTCTCTCTGTCCCAAAATAAATATAAGCTGAAAAAAAATTAAAAAAAAAAAATAGAGAACAAACTGAGGTAGTGGGGGTGGGAGGGAGGGGAGGTGGGTGATGGGTATTGAGGAGGGACACCTTTTGGGATGAAGCACTGGGTGTTGCTTGTACAGTAATTTGACAATAAATTTCATATATTGAAAAAATAATAATAATGGGAGAGGCTAAGCATGTAAACGGGTGAAGAGTATGTGGGAAATCTCTGTCATCTTCCTACAATGTAAGCCCTGACAATCATTTCTTTCTATTTTGTCATGCAAGTGCCTGACTTCAATTCCACTTCAAAGACAGCTATCTCAGTAAAACACACTGGCAGTCAAATGACTAAAGAGCCAGGCTACCACCTCCCACACAAGGCTCCTTTGCTTTAGAGATCTTGGTTGATTTAGATAACTGACCATTCCCTGTGCTTTAAATTCCCACTCTTATGTTTTAAATTCACCAATAAAGAATGAACCTATGAAACCCCATGCCCCTACCCATAGACCCCAAAAACAGCAGAACCCCAAGCCCACACTCTTCTTTCTCTACCCATGACCTCACTGTGTGACCCCAGGTGTGTTGTATACCCTCCAGGACCCATGAATAATAAAACCTCTTGTTTTTCAAAGTGTCCTGCTGGCAGTCATAATAAGAACCATGAGGACCAGTCCAGAACAGTGGTAATCAAGAGGCTGAAACTAACAGAAAAACATTTCTGGTCAATTTTGCTTTAAACCTGCCAGAGACTCATTTTAGACCTAAAGACACCTGCAGATTAAAAGTAAGGGGGTGGAGAAACACCTATCATGCAAATGGGTGTCAAAAGAATAGAAAATCCAGTCCTAGTAGCAATACTTATATTGGACAAACCAGACTTTTTTGTTCTTGTATTGTTTTTATATTGCTTTGGTACAGGGTAGTGTTCCCTCTATTCCATTATTCATAAGATTTTGATAAAGATTTCCATTAATTATTATTGTTTTTAATGATTGGTAGATTTCACCAATGAAACCAGGTGGTCTTGAGCTTTTCAGTGCTGGGAGATTTTTTTATTCCTAATTCAACCTCCATTTTTGTTATTAGTCTAAGAAGATTTCCCACCTCTTGGATTCAAGATTCATGATTCAATCTTCGTAACTTCCACATTTTTTAGGAATTATCTGGAGTTTTTTCTTCTAAGTTATCTGATTTTTTTAGTTTATAATTGTTTATAGTAATCTGTTATCACACTATTGATTTCTGTGGTTATCTGTTGTATTGTTTTCTCTTCCATTTCTCATTTTGGTTTTTGAGTCCTCTTTTTTCTTAGCTAATGTAATTAAGAAAATTACCAACTTTGTTCATTTTTTGGAAAAATTGGTCATTACTTTCGATGTTATTATTTATTCTGGTCTCTTATTTATTCCTGATTTTTCTTTATTATTTCCTCCCTCTACTAAATTTCAGCTAAGTTTCCTTTTTCTAGTTCCTTGTGGTGTAATGTTGTTTACTTCAATTTTTTTTCCTAATATGAGCATTTATAGCATAAAATTCACTCATCTGCTTTTGCTGCATCCTACAGGTTTTGGAAGGTTGTGTTTTTTTTCCTTTTGTTTCGAGACATATTTTGATTTGCCATTTAATTTCTTGTTGGGCCAATTGCTTGTGCAGTAGCGTGTTAATATTTACATATTAAAATTTAGTATTTACGTTGTAGATTTTGGGGGGTTGCTTAGGTGGCTCAGTCGATTAAGCATCTGACTTTGGCTCAGGTCATGATCTCGCAGTTTGTGGGTTCAAGCCCCACGTCCGACTCTGCTGACAGCTCAGAGCCTGGAGCCTACCTCAGATTCTGTTTCTCCCTCCCTCTCTGCCCCTCCCCCACTCACATTCTGTCTTTCTCTC